CGTATTATTAACAGAATAAATGTATGACGTTATTAATTGATTAAAAAGATGACGTTATTATTACATCTTAAATAGGTCACATGACATCAATAATGTAAAATGACTAATTATCGACAACTAAATAACGACAGTTTGCTACTTGGGCAGTTATTCTAACGAAATTATAATCAATCATGAATTTATCAATTCATTAAGACAATGATAATATACGATTCGATCTTTTATTCAGTCATCTTCAGTATTCTAACAAATTTTTTAATTTTTCTTTTTCAATCCAGTTTTTGTTCATTCAATAATTCCATTTTGTTTACTATGATAATTGATATCTTTATAACTTTGAAGCGATCATGTAAAAAAATTGTTTCTTAAGAATATTGTATTATTATATTAGGCTAAATTAGCAACTAAAATATCTTTTCATATAAATCGTTGTGTACAATTCATGCCAGATTCCTGCATAAAATTGAAATTATTTCGTAATTATATATTTTTTAAGACTGATCTTTATGTGACACTTAGAAATCATACATAATATCATATTGTTGGATGATTCTGTAAAAAAATTATTTTTTGATGAGCGACGGTTAAAACCTATTGCAGATCACTTAAGCTCATAATGTTGACAACATATATCCAGGTTATTGACTTTTGAAAGGACTTTTGAAAGGACTTTATATAAATTTATTTAATTTTATAAGTTTTTAGAAAATTTTTCTAATTTTTTATATGAGTTGGATGGAATGTTTTTTAGAAAATCTCTTCTAGAATTCTTTATATGTATAAATTTTGAAATATTTTAAGATTTCTCATTTATAATTTTCGAAAAAAGAAATTACAATATTTGAAGAAATTTAAATTTTAAGGGTCCTAAGTAGTTATATCTCATAAATAGTCATGAAAGATATGTAAAAGTGAAAATGGGCTACGCATGCGCATTGAGTAAACGTATTTCACGTACTTTTTATCTTTTGCGACTACTGATTATCGGGGAGAAGGGAAACAGAGGAGATTAGGATAACATCGACCCATTTTTATAAGTATTTTAAAGCGATCTCATAATTTCATTTTATCAAAATTGTCTTTATTTACAAATGACATATAAACAAAAATTATGCATTATTTTTCGTTCATGATATCATAATTTAGTACGTCCATCTCAACTATTCAGGAACCTCAAAACATTTTTTTCAGAAATCTTCAATTTAAAATCTAAAAAAATTAATAAATTTAAAATATGAAAAATTCGTAAAAATATAAGATATTATTAAAAAATTTTTACTAGATATAAAAATTTTTTTACCAGTTCTATGCAAAATCTTATTTTCCATCAATATAGTTTCTTAAAAAAAAAACTACAAATGCGTAATTGCAATGTTACATCTTTGATGAAAACTTCTTTACAATTTTTTATATAATTATTCAAAATTTTTGTATAAACTTCAAAATTTTTTTGAATTTTTGTACATAATTTTATAATTTTTTTAGAAAATTTTTTAGTTTTTTTATATGAATCGAAATATTTTTCAGAAATAAATGTCTTATTTTTAGAATTGTTCATTATGTATATATGTATATACATATACGTGTGCGTGCGTGTGTAAGGACATTCTCAAATCGGACACTTCCTCTGTCCAGAATTCAGTTCAAAAAATTTCTTTCTAGGCTCAAATTGTACATATGTCTACTTTTTTTAGCATTCTGGCCTTTTTGGAAATTCAATGGTTATAACATAACGGCTATTGTTCACGAAATATTAAGAATTCTTAAATCATCACTCAAATAGACTAAGATTTGTTCGATTTTCATGAACATCAGCCAAGAAGGAAAGTATTAAAGAATTTACCGGTTATTGTGCCGTGATTCATTGCTATGCCAATTTCGTCAATCTTGCCTTTCACTTCATCAGGGCGAGGGTATTGTTCTCAAAATAATATTTACCGAAATGATTGCCATAATAATTCGTACAGTTTTAATTTAATCAACATAAAATTTTAAGATATTCACAACACTTTTTGTCTCAATCAGTACTTCATGAATTATGGCCGTCATGTTAGGCCCACCATATTTTTCAAAAAGATCAGAGTGCTAAAGGAAGTAGACATGTATATTTACAATTTGAGCCCAGAAAGAAATTTTTTGATTAAATTGAAGTTTGGACGGAGGGGGTGTCCAATTTAACAGAGAATGTCCTATATATATATATGTGTGTCAAAAGTCTGGAAATGATCGAATATCTTGAAAGTAAAGCATTTTTGAGAAAAATGTTTTAGGCAAAAGATGTAGGGTAGGTTCAAAAGATTCACTGATCGATTCACTGATCACATCCTCTTGATCTTGAGTGGCATCACCAAAGTCAGGTTAATTTTTTTAAATGGAATCCCTTATTTTTTTATTACGTATTCTTGTAGCTTATCTCGAAAACTTTTCAAAAGCTTTATTACTATAATAAAATAGTTTTTTATTAAGTATTTTTTGAGTTATGAGACTCAAAAGTTACAGTATACCATCAGCATTGGTGTTACTCAAGATGCTAAAACAATAGTTAAAACCTTTTGAATATTATTCAGGATCATGATCTTAATAACATTTGTTAAGATCAAAGCTATTGAAAGTTGTTCTTATTTTTATTTTTACATAAAAGTGAATTTTAATGGAAAAAATGAAAATAAGAGGAACAACCTCTAATGTCCTTGATCTTGACAAATGTTATCTGAATCGTGATCCTGAACAACATTCAAGAGTATTTAGCCATTGGTCAGACACTTTAGGTAATACTAATGGTGACAGTACTATAACTTTCAATCCTCATAACACAAAAAGTACTTAAAGAAAAAATATTTTATTATAACATTTTGAAAAGCTCTCGAAGTAAGCTACAAAAAAATGTAACGAAAAATAAAATTCTATTTAAAAAAATCAAAGTGACCTAGGCTTGGCGACACCACCTAAGGTCAAGGGGATGTAATCAGTGAATAGATCTTTTTAAATCCTACAACTTTTGTCGGAAATATTATATTAGGCGAAGTAAAAAGAAATCCATTATTTTTCCAATAGATGGCTTTAGTAATCTGTATCTCGTCTACGCGTGGAAAAATAATGGATTTCTTTTTACTACACCTAATATTTTTCTTAAAAATGCTTTGTTTTTGAGATATTTGACCGTTTCTACTTTTTGACACGTTTCGTATATATACCTTGTTAGAAAAATTTTGCTAAAATTATTCCATGTTTTGGATCACTTATTGGCGAAGTTTCAGCATTTCAGAAAATTTTCAATTTAATTTCAACGATTTTTAGTTTGAAAAGTCATTTTTAGCAAAATTTCAACAAAATTTCAGAGAAGTTTCAACGATTTTTTAATATGTTTGCTGAAAAATTCATTTTCAATGAAATTTCAACAAATTTTCAGTAATTTCACTGAAACGTTTCAAAACGTGAAATAATTTCGAAATTTTTTTACCAGAGTGTGTATACATACAGGGTGTTTGATAAGTAACGATAAATCTTTTGCACGAAGACAGAATAAACTAAACTGAAAAGAAAAGTCCTCATTTTGCAATTTTCGCAATAGTTAATAAAATATTAATTGCTAAAAATTGCCGAAAATTGGTCTTCAATAATTTTTTACTCAAATACTATCAATTTTACAGAAAAATTGTAAGAGACAAAAATTGTTTATTTTTTTCTCATAAAGTTCTAAGAATTTTTTCAGAATTTTTTAATGTCCTTCAAATTCTCTGTAGATACAGGGTGGGCCATCTATTGGTACGTTTTTGAATTTCGTCGTATGGCAACACCGAACGAGCTCCAGACCCGAAATTTTGACAGTTTATTAGTCATACCGTCCGCGGCACGAAACAACATGTTTTCTCTTGAAGAGCGTTTTGAAATTTTAAAAACTTATTTTCAAAGTCAGTGCTGTGTCGCCGAAACTGTACGAATTTTGAAAAGAAATATGGGTCGTGATAGAGCACCCACCGAAGGAGCTATACGCAAATTGGTGAGGAAAGTTCGTGAGAAAGGGATGTTAGTGGATGACATTATATTACGACTGTTTTGAGTGAAATTGGCGCCGAGGTAGTCCAAAATGTCATTAATAATTGGGGTGACCGAATGGCATACTGTAAGGCCAGTAGAGGGAGCCACATGAACGAAATCGTTTTTCATTCTTGACGCGGATACTTTTAGCTTCACAACAAAAAAAAAATTAATAAAAAATATCAATGTATGCTCATTTGATCACATTTTTAAAAACGTACCAATAGATGGCCCACCCTGTATTAGGTGTTGGAATTAATTCGTAGCGTTTTACAAGTGATGGGAAGTACTTTCATTAATGCTCATGTGAAATAAATAACATTCTTTCATTAAAAACGCTACGAATTAATTCCAACACCTAATAATATTGATAGAAATAAAACTATTTTCTCATGTTGGTAAAAATAAGAAAATGCAATACTAAAAAATTGATAAAAAATTCTGGAAAAATCCTTAGAGCTCTATAAAAAAAAAAATAAACAATTTTCATTTCTTGCTGTTTTTTTTATAATGTTGATAGTATTTGAGTAAAAAATTATTAAAGATGAACAATTTTCGACAACAATTTTTAATAATTAATATCTTGTTTACTGAAAATTGTAAAATGGTAGAGGACTTTTCTTCTCAGTTTAGTCTATTCTGCTCCTGTGCGAAAGATTTATTGTTATTTATCATATAAATGTCATGTATATATACATTATACATAAATTCTGAAATATTCTAAGATTTTATTATTCTACAATTTCTGAAAAAAATTTATGAAATCTAAAAAAATATAAGGTGTTTTTTTTTAAGAAATCTTTTCATAAATTTAAAATGTAACAAACTCTTAAATATATTATGAAATAACATAAGAAAATTTTTTATCATGAATTTAATTATAAAAATTGTCGCAAAAGAAAATTATTATATATGATTATAATTGTATTTTTCTGTAAGTTTTCCTGCAAATTTCTCAGGGAATGTTCATCGTTTCTTTGCCGTTCGCCGTCTTACGTGGCGGTTATTGGGCGATCGCCGCAATGATTGGCATCGCGCACATCTGCTGCTACACCGGCAAGATCCTAGTCGAGTGCCTCTACGAGCTAGACACAGTGACAGGTCAACGTGTACGCGTACGAGATTCGTATGTAGCCATCGCCAAGGAGTGTTTCGGGCCTACGTGGGGCGCCCGTGCCGTCAATATTGCGCAGATAATTGAGCTGTTGATGACCTGCATTCTGTACGTGGTCGTGTGCGGTGATCTGATGATTGGTACTTTCCCCGAGGGCGCCATCGACACCCGCAGCTGGATGATGCTAATCGGCATATTTCTGCTGCCACTTGGCTTCCTCAAGTCCTTGCAGCATGTTTCCGTGTTGAGTTTCTGGTGCACAATGTCTCACCTCTTCATCAACGCGATCATCATCGGTTACTGTATCCTGGAGATTGGTGACTGGGGCTGGTCGAAGGTGAAGTGGACGATTGACATGGAAAATTTCCCGATCTCGCTTGGCGTGATCGTCTTCAGTTATACATCGCAGATCTTTTTGCCAACCCTCGAAGGCAATCTCATCGATCGTTCTAAGTTTGACTGGATGCTAAATTGGAGTCACATCGCTGCGGCAGCGTTCAAGTCGCTCTTCGGCTGGATCTGCTTCCTAACATTCCAGAACGATACACAGCAGGTGATCACAAACAACCTGCACTCAGCCGGCTTCAAGGGTCTGGTGAACTTGTGTCTGGTCGTCAAAGCGGTGCTGTCGTACCCATTGCCATATTACGCCGCTTGCGAGCTCCTCGAGCGCGCCTTCTTCCGCGGTCGACCGAAAACAATCTTCCCAACCATCTGGACAGTGGATCGGGAGCTCAAAGTCTGGGGTCTGGCTTGGAAGATCGGCGTAATCGTGTTCACCATTTTAATGGCAATCTTCATACCGCACTTCAGTATATTGATGGGTTTCATCGGTTCTTTTACCGGGACCATGCTTTCATTTATCTGGCCTTGTTATTTCCATTTGAAGTTGAAGAGGAACTCAATGGAGTGGAGCGCCGTTGCTTACGATTGCTTCGTCATTTTCCTTGGTGTTCTCTTCGGCGTTATTGGCGTCTATGATTCCGGCTCCGCACTGATTAATGCCTTCGAGATTGGCCTGCCCTTCTGAGCGATCTCGCGCCAACTAGGTCGTTTCGTTGTTCTTATCTGTAGCAAAATGATATTACGGAAACGTTCGCAAGTCGCAGGAATATTTGTTTCTCGATTTTAACATGCTCGGTATATGTGCAATAATTGCTGATGCAAGCAAGAGATCACAGAAAATCTAAAATAAAGGCGATAATTGATAGGAAAATTTTGTGTTTTGGAAAAATTAGAAATTTTTTTGAATAACATTCAGCTCAATAATCAACAAACTGATTATTTACAAAATGCTAATATCAAATTAAGAAAATATATCAGGCCTGTTAGATAGTGACTCGCGTGCCAGCCGCGCCGCCGAACGCTTCCCTCTCCAATTTGATCCGCCGGCCGATTTCAGGGACAATTGTCAGCCGTGTAGGCGATGTACGCGAATTGTCACGATGTAGGCTCTACTCTCCATAGTAAACTATTGGAAACTTCGACTTTTTTCTTCTTTGCTACGTTATGTAGCAAAGAAAAAAAACTCAAAGTTTCCAATAATACGACATAATATAATAAAGATGAAAAAAATCGAAATTTCCTATAGTTTATTATAGGGAGTAGGGCCTACATTTCGACGACTGACAACCGTTCCTGAAATCGGTCGACGGATCGAGTTGGAAGGGGAAGCGCTCGGCGGCAAAACATATTATGCGCAGCAGGCCGAAACATATTATTGTAAAATTTTTAAATATATTATATAAATGCAATTTTATAAAATTCCTTATAACGAAATGTCTCTAAATTTGAAATATATCTGTGAATCGAGAATCAAATATTTCCTGTGCTTAAAAGCGATTAATTCGCGCATGAGAATTTGCGTTTGTGTAATTCGATTTTTTGTTACGTATTATTTTAACATTTATTATTTTTGCGGATTAAAACTGCGATGTTGTTTGCAGTTATGTTTCTTTAAAATAATTTTTATCCGATAATATAATTAAAATGCAAGAGCATCATCTTCCATTCGTGTAAAAACACATTTTAATAATCTTAAAAGTCTTCCAGAACAATAATGTCTTTCAGAACAATAATATTGATAGAAATCTAACGCAAGATTTATGCTTGTATTCGTAATAGCATATTTAGTTCTTTACATTAAATTTATACTTAAATCATTATGAATTAATGATTTCAGGGGCAATGTACAACACGTCATGCAATTTTCCCAATTATATAGCGAGTGATGTTTAGAATAGAAACGTGAAAATCAAAAGACGAAAACGTAACTGTTTTCTAAAGCTACTAATTGTAATATTTTTTCCAGAAGAAAAAATGGCTCGCTAAAGAGTATTCAAAATTCCGTTGTACATTTCACATGTTGACCAGAATTGCGAATCGCGTTTCTACATATAATATAAAAGATTAATCCCCCTTGCATTCGGAAACCTTTAGATAAAATAAGAGATTCAAGCGCGCATTGAACGTGACAATAAAGATAACAATGTCTTCCACTGTGCTGCAGAGCGCAGCCTAACTAATAGTTGATTACTGTTACAGTTTTTTGGATTTTATAATTATATCACTACAAAGTTATATACTAGGGCAGTCATATGAAACATAATAGATGAAAAAAATCGAACATTGAAATCAATTAATATGTTAATTACCACGGTAGGCAAAGTACTTTTTATTGTGAAACTATGACAGTTGCTTTGTTCGTCAAATTCTTTAGAGAGATTGAACTCACTCGCAAACAACCTCCTGTACTGCTGTGTTCTGGTGAAAATTTCTTGATAGCACTACCTTTCAAATTTTTCTTCAGTACTCCGATTCTGTAATTCTTAACGATAATTCGGTAACATTACAATATCGTTGCACAGCTTTTTTACTATGTATAATATCTATGCAACGACAATGTAACGATATTGAATGTTGTTAAAACTGTTGAAAATAATAGATTAGGGTACAGGTCTTTAAAGAAATTACATAGCCAAAATTCCGGTGAGAAATATTGGAGCAACCTACAGCCTAGACTTAATACCACGCGATTTCTATATCTTTGAAAACTTAAGGAAGAAAGGCAGGAAATTTCCATCGGACGCAACAATGCAGGAGATTGCTTACGAGTGAATATAATCTAAAGAGTTTTATAAACAAGGTATCCTGTCGTTTGATTTTTTAATAACAATAGAACGAATGCCTTGCCAACCATAGCGATTATTAATATGTTAATTGATTTTAATGAATTTTTCATCCGTAATATTTCATTTCACTACCTTAATACAGGGTGTCAAATTGAAAACAATTCGAAAATGTCTAATAAATATATTACGTCCGATTTTAAATGATTTTGGAGTTATTAGATATTGAAGTAAGAAAACATGAATTGTAATAAATGTTGTTTAATGTTCGTTATTCTATTATTCTGAATTCTGAATCTTTTTCTGATAGACTTTTCTGATAAAACTTTTACTAGGACATTCGTTCCCAAAATGTAAACAAATACATATTAAGGATGACTTCCTAAGCGAACGTTTCTCCATGATTACTATCTTGGATATGCTCCTATTAAATGGCCAGCAAGAAGTCCCAACCTCACACCACTGAATTTTTTTCTTTGGGGAATGAAAGATCTAGTCTACAAGAATGAGATTTAGAATGCAGAACAGTGCAACTGATACTTAACACTGCCGATATTATCCGCGAAACTCCAAATATTTGTCATCAAATCCGAAATTATAACAATTTATTAATTCGTACTAGAAACTGTGTCGAAGAATGGAGGAATTCTTGAACATCTTTTGTAAAGCATTAAATAGAATAACGAACATTAAACAACATTTACCACGATTCGTGTCTTCTTACTTCAATATCTCGTAATTCCAAAACCGTACGGAATCGAACAGATGTTTATTAGACATTTTCAATTCGTTTTCATGTGCTAAAACCGCTGTAGCAGTTTTGGCCTCAAAATGGAAATATATATATATATATATATATATATATACACACATATATAATATATATATGTAGAGTGAGTCATTTTATAATAAGTGATATACTGAAATATCTCTGAAAAATATAAAAGATACAGAAAAATGTCATGTATAAGTTGCTCAGTTACTAGGGGGAAAGAAAGTGGTGACTTTGGTTGATCTAAAGATGCCCTTAAAATCAGGTCAAGATTACCTAAAATTTTTTAATCTCAAATTTTAACGCTTAAACGACACACTGATGCGAATTTGCATCAGCAAAATTTTCAAAACATTGGCATTTTTCAAAAGATCTTTTTTTAATACCAATTTTTTTATAACTTAACAACAATTTAACTAAATTTGAATTCAAATGCTTTGTTCCAAGAAATTTTATTTCAAGAAAGTATGATTTTGAAAGTAGAATATTATCATGGTTAAATAAATGAATGAAACCACAAAATCCTAATTCGCGGTAGCGTGCCGTTTATAAGTGTTGGGATAAAGTGTGCCATTTAAGGGTTAAATCCCGAAATAAATTTAATCTTTTTATTTTATTTAAATTAATTAAAGTTTGAGATTTTTGTTAAAAAAAAATCAAGTTGATCTTGCAATCCCTGGGCTAAATTTAAATACATGATAGCATATTTGAACGTAGAATTTTCTGCTCTTTTTATTTCTGGAATAAAAAATAGGAGTTTCCATTTAAAATGACACTAGTTATAACAATTGTTTAGCAGATGATCAATATTAACGTGATCAAACGGAGCTTCCAGTGTTGATCTGTTAACCTTCAACCCCCTAACTTGTAAAGTTCTCAGAGAAAATATATTTTAATGTAGTGTTTTAAAAAGATTTTGACATATATGAACATGAAATAAAAAAATCGGGATTTCCGTTTAAAAAAATTTAGGTATCCTTGATCTGACTTTAAGAACATCATCTCTAACCAGGTTAACCAAAAAAAGTTACCACTTTCTTTCCCTGCAGTAATTGAGCAACTTTTGTAGAAAATTGTGAGTTTGTCTCTGTGTAATCGAAGAGTGAATAACTGTCACAGTTCTACTCATTTGACGAAAAAATGTATTTGGATTACTCTTATTATTTTATCATATTACTCAATTAAGTTTTATTTTCAATTGGTTGACTACTGCATATGTATCTGCATCAATTCGCTTCACTTCATAAGAATTACTTGTTTCTTTCTGATCAGTAAAAGTTTGGGATGAATCTAAGGAATTTTTGATATGTTGGATAGTTGGCATCATGATTGATGCACTATTTGTACAGGATAGTATTATATTAATTCCGTTGAGAATGACTTGAAGTAAGTCGAAACGCGTATGCATATAGGGTAAGTCCACAATTTATATCTTTTAAATCCTTGCTTTAAAAGGTCGTAAGCCGTAAGACAACGTATGTTGTAAGTGACGATATATCGGCCACAGAACTTATACCTTTAGGTCGTAAAAATTGAGTTTTGCTCAATTCGCTTAAGTCTAACATTAAAGCTTAAAGACTGCGCAAAAACAGTTTAAAAACAAAAATTATTGTTACTTAATCTCTTTCGACTTAAGGCCTCCCTGCTTAAAAAGTCCGATAGAATCAGATAGGAAAAAACTCTATCTGATTGAATCGTATTTTTGGTTTGTAAATTTCAGATTACTTATCTGAAATATCTAATAGATTTTCTATAGTTTTCTATCATTTTCGTCATATAACTTATAAATCGTTTTTAATTAATTTCTATTTAATCATGTTTTATCAAAATCAATAATATTGTATCGTGTTTTTGGTTCGTAAATTTCAGGTTATTTACTTGATATATTTGATAGATTTTTTATATTTCTTTATCGTTTTTGTCGCACGCTTTAGATATCGTTTTTAATCAATTTCTATCTGATCATATTTAATCAATATTAACAGTATTCTAAAAAAAAAGCTTTTTATAATTATTAAAATATAGTTCTTATTCTTTATTATTCTTTTATGGAATTAATTTATTTTCACATGCAATGTATTAATTACAATTATGTATCGGAAATTTACAATTTTTGAAAACGCATTGAAATTGACGAGATTCGAACCTAAGACCTACGGGGTGATACTCTAACGTTGAGTTATAATCGCACGCTTGTCTGGATATTTTAGCATGTGATAGTTATAGAGACATTTCTGGATTAAGTTACATAGGTTCTTATAAACATTGTATCATGTTTATCATATACCTTAAATATCGTTTTTAATCTTAAATTTTAGATTACTTACCTGATATAGATTTTCTATATTTCTCTATCATTTTTATCATATTATTTTATCATATCGTTTTTAAACAATTTCTTGTTACGTTTTATGAAAATTAATAATTAATAATATCTTGTCGTGTTTTTAAATCATAAATTTCAGATTACTTATCTAAAATATTTGATAGATTTTCTATACTTTTGTATCATTTTTGTCAGTTCGTTTTTAATCTATTTCTATCAAAATTAATAATATTCTTTTCATATAATTTTCATTGTAAATTGTAGAATGTAAAATTTAATCATAATT